ATAAATATCTATTAATAAGCGATGATGTAAATAAATATATTTTTTAAATAAAGACATTGCTTGTTTTAAAATAAATACGTCACTTATTTTATCAAAATCAGATATACATTAATTCTGAAACCTTTTAACCAAGTAACTTACATTTCGTAAAACAGGTTCTAATTTCAAAACTGAATCGCAACAATCTTATGCCGAACACCATCTAGTTTTAACGGATGATTTTAAACCTCCACCTTTAATAAGAAACTTTTTAATTTCATCCCTTAATTGAGCACCGGGCACATGTGAATTTTGAAAGTAAGTAATGAATTTTTGACATTTTGAAAGAACTTGCGACCCAAAAGAAGTTTTCTTAATAATATCCGCCGCTATTAGTTGAATATGATGAGCGATACAACAAATTGGTATAATATGAGGATATTTTTGAGCAACAAAACTTTTTGCCAGCTGCATCGCAGCAGCACCATCTGAAACAACAGCTCCGAATTTTTTTGGACCAATTTCTTCAATTATTTTAATGATTTCATTTGATATAAAACTTCCAGTATGTGAATAAGAAGAAAAATCTTGAACAAAATGGACATATTGATGTCTGTCAAGAGTAATAATAACAAATGCATAATAAGAATAGTGTAATCTACTCATCCAACCATCAAGAACTAATTTGATAGAATATCATTTATACAATTAATTATATAACATAATATTATTTTTATATTTAAAAAAATAAACTTACCTAAGGTCAAATTCTTAAGCTATTTAAACTGTTCATCTATATTGATTGTAATTCAAGCAGTTTCTTGATCAACCCAAAGATTACTTAAAGTTCTTCGATCAGAAGACATATAACCTGCATTAAGATTTTTAAGTAAATCGACAAAAAAAGGGCTTTCAACAACCCAAAAAGGAATGCCACAACAAGTAAAGAAACGAGTTAAAGCTTTGTTAATAAGTTTTTCTTGACCTTGATCTATATGTGTTAATTGAAACTTATCAGTAATTTTTAACTAATTCTTAGTTTCAACTTCAATTTGCATTTTTTTTTTTTGAAGGTTTGGAATTCGTTATTGTATATAAATATTTTTTTTTAATATCACCCGGTACATTTTTACATTCTAATGCTAAGTGCAATTTCATTTCACTAGGCTGTCCTCATTGTATAACCTCTTCACAGTATTTACACTTCATCGCTACATGCTCATGTTTATTGCGTACTCCGAGTTTAATATACTCATTATTTACAGGATCTTCAGGTCTACCAACTGATTTTTTAATCTTTGCTTTTTTTCTTTTTTTGTTATAACTATATTCACTAATACTTTCATCACTAGCAGAATCTTC